AATGAAGCCAGAAGTGAAGTATTGCCAAGTAAGGCACTAGGGGATAAAAGGTTGATAAAAGGGGAAAGAAGGATAAAGATCCAAAATGTTGTTATCGGTACAACAGATTCATTTTGGTCGTTTTTGTGTCCCCAAGAAGAGGGCACAAATGCAAATTCCAAATCTGCAGGTAATTGTCTCATTAGTCGCCTCTTACGATACAGCAGTTGTAAGAGCATGGCCCGTATTCATGACGCCGTTCTCATGCTCAAGCAAAATTCCAGTTGAGCACAGAATCCATGGTTGAGCACGAGAACGGTTTCATGGGCCCGTATTCATGAAACCGTTCTCATGCTCAACCATGGATTCTGTGCTCAAACCTATTTTCTTCTTACTCGCTTAAATCTTGCCAAACGAAACTGTTCTCCTGCTCATACTCAACTTTTGTTCTCGTGCTCAATGTTGTGCTCCGGAGAGAACGTACTCATATTTCGTATTCATGAATCTATCTGAGAACGTTCTCTGCTGAGTTCGGTAACCAGGTGAACTCTCTAATGTTTGGAGTCTATTTTGCGCATCGCGTGTTCGTACGCGCACTGTGTCATCTGGGCAGACGACACAATAATGGCCGAGAAAGAGCTCGAGCTCACTGAAAGGGATCCAAGAAGAAATAATCTTGGACAGCAGCTGAGGAGGCCACATTGATCCAAGCAGTGCATTCAAATGAGAATGTACTGTTTGGATCAATGTCGGGATCTGGTGCTATCAAGATGACCACACAGAAAAAAAGAAAGTGGGAAGAAATTACCAATACTATGAACTCGTAAGTATTAATCGCTGAATCGCTGAAAAAGGACAACATGTTCCAGTATTTAAAAAAAAATGCATTTGCCGAGTTTATTCGAATCAGAGACGTATATATTACATATACGTCTCTGAAAGACATATAGACGAATCAAAGCTATTGAGCGGTGTGAGGCCAAGTTTGTCCATTGCTGATTTTAGTATTACGCTACATCGTCAAATCAAGTTAGATTGTTATATTTAGAGTATTGTAAACAAACACAGTGTTGTCGGCGGGATGACAAGATGGACCGCCATACGTTTGATATACACAAATATGAAGTCATGGCACCTCCCAGCTATTTCGAAGACAGATATCATGTCTTGCTACGACTGATGTGTCATAGCGAGCTGTTTAAATTTATACGAATTGGCTTGAGACGAAGTCCTCCGTTTTTTTTATCTAATTCCCGAACAGCTGCTAGCCCAAATTTTCTCTAGCTCTAACACCAGACTAACTGACATTTTGACAGATAAATGTCTGACCAGACATCTATCTGTCAAAATGTCTGAAGTTTGATGAGGGGGCCAGAGAAAACACAGGCTAGAACAGCTGATCAGTCTGTATTTTTTTTAGGCCTGAGAACCTACTTGAGAAATTGTTTTATGATATGCAAAGAAATGTATTCCGGTGTAAATTGATTTCTGTAACAAGCACACGAGGTCAGGCCAACAGAATGGGTTCATGCTATGACTCGAAAATACAAATAAGAAACTGGAGAAGACACAGGTGCTCGGGTTCTGGAATAGTCTCTATATTTGATATATTATTTAATATTCAAACAGATTTTTTGATTTTTGCACTGATATTGTTTTAGAAAGATACAGGATTTTTTATTTGGAAAAATAAATGGTAGCATCAATATTCTTCATTTAAATCAGATAACATACCTTTACTCGTCACACGTAATATTTGGGCCAAATAATTAAAGATGGTGATATAGTTTGAAATTCAGTATAAAATTATGAAAACAGATACAATATTTGTATTTCATGTTCTGCAATTTTATCAGTGAATAAATGAGTGGACATGTTTTAAACATTTATATTTCATCTGTTACCTTTCATATTCTTCATACATTTATGTATACACGACTTTTTTCAGTCGTCTCCCGTGGTAATTATTATACTCGCTAGGTGCCGCTAACATCGCACCGCCATAACAGAAGTGATCATACTCATAAAGGCGGGCAATTCGAAAAGCAAAACAAGGTAGCATTGATATTCTATAAAATTCACTGGAACTTCACTGAATTTATAATCACATGTGTAAAGTTGATAATGATGAATTCAATGATAGAGGCTGTTGCAAAATCCATCACATCAAAGGATGTTAAATCAAACGAGTGGATCGATGACATGCGCGAGTGGCCGGAGATCGAGTATGGCGATATTTACAACTATTTAGTTTTGAGTCGATCATGTGACGGAGAAGAGATGAGGAATTTCAAGTCTATGGACAGTTTCAACTACTTTAAGAGTGGTGCTGTTGATAAGATTTTACACCATGTTACTGTTGACGGCATTGTTATGAAATGTAATGTACGACCATCACAGAGAATGAACAATGAGTACCACCATCCGTGGATTGTTTGCGACAGTAACGGTACAATCAACACAGGGGGCTGTTCGTGTATGGCAGGTGTAAGTAAGACTTGTAGTCATGTAGGTGCGTTGTTGTGGAAAGTGGAATATGCTGTCAAAACAGGACTTACTGGTAAGAGTTGCAGGCTAAGTGGAATTAAGGAACGACAAAGAACATTGAGCCAGGTCCTATTGCAGACATGGATTTCTCCAATCCAAAACGTAACAAGACGGACGAAGATGACATCGACCAGGAAGTAAACTATACTCATTCTTCTTTCAAACCTTCTCAAGTCATTCAGAGTTTCAAAAGTTTATTGATAAATCAACATTCATGCCTTTATTTTACATCAAGGATTCACTTATCAACAAATCTGCAAGTGCTGACATCACCAATATTTGAAGCTCACACCTCATCAGATATCATCTGTGACATACAGCACTGTTTCTCAATCCCAATCCGAGCTGTGGCATGATAGCAGAAAACTGAGAATTACTTGCAGTTCATCACATAAGGTACCAATTCTGGAAACAACAAATCCAGACAGTTTTATAAGAGAACATGTTTATCCTACCTTTAGAGGTAATATCTACACTAGGCACGGACAGGACGGAGAGGTTAAAGCTAAACAGCAGCTGAGGAATGATGGGGACATCATATCAGATGTAGGAACAGTTATATCCCAAAGTGAACCATGGCTCAGTGTATCGCCCGATGGATTAATCCAAACTCCTTGTGACCACTTGTTGGAAATCAAATGTCCATTTCTTAAAGATATCTCTTTAGACACTTTGTTAACTTCTGGAAAGTATGATATTGTTAAAGAAGCCGATATGTATGTGTTAAAACCAATGTGTTAAAACCAAATGGTACACACACATACACCACACGCATGCATCTTGCACACAGGGGAGGCCGTCCTTAAATGACCTTAGCTGTTAATAGGACGTTAAACAAAATCAAACAAACAAACAAACAAACAAACAAAAAAAGGACCCAAGGGCTATTACCTCCAAGTACAGTTAACAATGTATGTAACTGGATTGAAACTTTGTAAATTTATTGTGTGGTCAACCTTAGATTATGTAACTGTAAATGTGACATATGATCCTGATTTCTGTAAAAGATCTATTGCAAGACTAAAGAACTTTTATTTCACAAAATTCTTGTCAAGGATTGTTGATGACTTTCATTCTGGTAGGATGAGACTGTGTGCTCAATATGTAAAATCTTGTCAGTAAATATTTAAGAACATCAAACAAAACAATTACATTTCTTTCAAGATTGGCTTTATTAATATCAAGCTCTTTTACTTTCAAATATGACTTTGAAGTAAACAAACACATTCAAAATGTATGTATTTAGTAACTTATGAAAAATGTGATTACAATTAAAATGCTTTATGTACAATGATTTAAAATCACACATTGATTCACAGCTAGAACTAAGCTTAAATGATACTACTGATAAACTGAATTTCAGGGGTGTAACAATGACAATACTGGTACACCTAAAGTCTATTATGATATATTGCAATACAGAAAGAATGTATTGTCATAATAAAAAGGTGGTATAAATTTAAAAAGAAATTATCAAAATATTACCAAACTGAATCATAAATCATATGGATTGAACAGATTGTAAATGTTTAAGTTAACTTACAACTGCCACTGACTGGTATATGACATATATAGCATACAATTCATGTTACTAATTCTCGGGTCCCAATTAGATAACATATTGTCTGTCACAACTGCATATCGGTTTTTTTTCACTTTATTGTACCAATATTTTGTGAGGCAGCAGGGATCGATCTAGGTTTTAGAAGAATCTACCACCCTTTTCAGATTTAGGGAGAATTAAAACTTTGATACAAGGCTCAAGCTATAGTATCATGAAGGTAAAAGATTAATGTTTTGTCCGACATACATGTGTTCGAAATTGTTGAAATTTTGTTTAAAGTTATTGTTAAGAAATCGCATGTATAAATGTTTCTGCTTAATCTATTATCACAGTGGTTTTAGCATAATTCTTAAAAAATGATTCTGGTAAAGCTGCTCTTATAGTATCACGAGGCAACCAAATAACTCAATCTTTAACAGCAAGCAAAGGTAACCAAGATCTAAATATGTTTGAAGCATGACTTTCAGAAAAACCAAATCTATGACCAAGATCAGCAAATAACAAATTAAGTCAAGTTTCATCAATGTCAACCAAATTTGATCTGAAACAGACATTGTGAATTTAAATGGATAAATATTTTGCAAAACTTGTACAAGAGTTAAAAAGTGTCAAACCTGTGTATAAGTTTGACACATTATCATTTGATAAATCACTTGATGACATTGTCACATGGAGTGTTCTACAGTGAACACCCTGCTCTGCATGTCTTTTTAAACACAGGGGGAATAATGGACTCATTATCAGTACCACATGCACCTGCTGCACATAAATATGTGTGATCCTATAAAGAATTATCTGCCCACTGAGTCCCAATGCTAGCAGTAGATACTTGTGGAGGTGCTGGTTCAGCAAAATTAGTATTGTATGGTGAGACGGTTTCCTGAACTTCGGTGTCATCTAAGTCCATGATAACTCCTAAATCTCCATCTATATCTTCAAAGCTAAGAGAGAATAAAAAGTATCTAAACTTTATATTGTCAATTAATAATATCAATATCACATACAATATAATAATGAGCTTCAATGATGCCAAAGGCTAAGGGGAACATTGTTATAGGGGTAATGGATAGAAGTGGAAAATAAGTCCACAATTGTATATTTTTCATTTTAACTTACTAACTCATCATTCATTCTTCGGTCTACATTTGAGACAAATACGATCTGTTACCTGTAACCGAGCAAGACTGGGATATTTCAGTTGAGTGTTAAGATTCTGTATTATATGTATCCCAACTGAACACAAGCCAGCCGGGTTTTATTGTTACAGAATCTTAGCCTGTAAAACTGATTATATCATTGACCGACTCAAATTAGCAGGCCCCTGTGCATCAAATGTTATTGATCTACTTTAATCATCAGTATTACTGACTATATTTAGGTTTGTAATACTGTCATCTATGTAAACATATTATATCAAAAAAAAATTATTTCAAATGTATATGTATATTGGAGCAAACCGAAAAGCTGAACACTCAGTATTATTATAACAGATTAAATATTGATCTAATTATAAGCTTGGGTATACTATTATTTTTATATTTAATTCAGTAATTAATGGCATTCCTAATTACTTCTTTATATGTATCCACTACACTACAGAGTTGTAAACACCTGGTCTCCACGGTCTGCTGCTAACCACTTACTTATAATTACATAACTATTTCATATTGTTACCTATATCCTGCATCTGAATCCTGTACATCATTAAACTTTCTCTTTACCGTTCTCCGTCCCATCTTCACAGGTGTGTCATAACCTGTGTGAATGAAAAATATTCATAATGATATCACATATTACACTGTATACATTAGATTTCTGACTTCAGACAGGATGAACTTGAGTACAGTTTGACATAGTATATATATATACCATACATAACTACACAATGTAATCAAAATAACTGTATGCCTGTGTGTATGGACTTATCAGTATGAGATTACAAATACAAATGTTGATTGTAGTAACATTACATGACCAGAAATTAAAGTTGGTAACTTTCTATCTTACCTTACTTTATTTGAAGATGCTCATTCAGTTTTAAAGACAGGGAAATATTTTACAATTTAATAACATGTCAATTATTTTTTTAAGACAAGAAAAATACTATTAGATTGTTTTTACTCTCCAGAAACCCAAAAGAAATTTATCATTTTAGGACAAGATATCCTGGTGTAGGTAGCTATACATTGTAGGAACATCAAACACACTTTTTTTTATTTTCACTTTATTCTATAGCTAGAAAACAGGGGTTTGTTACAAACGTCTAATACGCATACGCTGTATTGATACATGGGCCAGGGTGTATGTTTAGATGTGCTGTGAACCATATCAGTATATAGCTATAAGCATGTGTATTAGTGTGTAGACATATCTAACAACACGACAGGAGTTTGGCGTTCTGTCATGTAATTATAGTCTACATGCAAAGAAATAATACCCAATATACTATAATTTCTAGCATACATGTATAGGCATACAACCTTACTGAATCACATTATTGTAGGCATATCAGCTGTCGCTAGATGGCGTAGCAAGGGATTAATTTAATGTGTATTATTTTGTAACAAACCCCTGTGGTTTACGGTCGCTGGAAATAACCATTCTATTTTTAGAATACATCACGAGTATGACTGAGCGATAAAAGTTTAGCTTAAACTTAAATTTGAAACATGACTAGGTCTACTTCGACAATTACAGTTAACCCTGAATCAAAGAGAAAGACGACATACCAAGGTTAATCTTTGGAGTTGGGTTTTGCTCTGTCGGGCGGCCATCGATGAAATGTTGAGAGCACACACGCACATTATTTGGAAGATCTTTCCGGTGTAGGGGCGCCACCCATTCCCGCTTCACTTCCTCGTCCGAGGGTAATTTGTGTAGGCTATATGGAACACAACACGGACAGTCTTTGTGAATAATTCCATGACCCTCGCACATCGCCTTTTTCCAAACATGTATTTTTTCATGGTTGTTCGAGCACCCAACAACAGCGCACGCTTCGCCGCCTCCTCGCTTGTACATTTGTCACGTTTGATCACTGTTGCAATGGCGGACAGTCACGTGATCAATATGGCCGCGCCTACTCGCTATGACGTAATAATGAAAAGAGCCGTGTATATTTCTTATGTTTTAATAATTGCAGACAATTCCAGCGATAAAAAAAACATGGCACAAGGTAAAAAAAACAAGCACATGATCATCAGCATGACAGAGACTTTAATATTATAATGAACACATATATCTCTTACAGATACACCTGACCAGCCTTTCATTTCCACAAATGTCTTCATTCTTTCACTTTCAAGCGTAAGAAGGTGAAGTTTTGTATTAGAGTTTAAAAATAAAATTGATACTTAATCAATATTCCTGCATGGGTGGGTGATAATTTTGGTACATGTATTTGAGTGTCACATATATGTGAAGAAGTAATCTGTGAAGAAGTAAGCTAAGCTTTATATTATTAAATTTATAATCTTGCAGATGTATCACTTGATAAGTGTGCAGACATCACCGAGGACCATTCCTATATATGTGATGATCCAGCCGGGAAGTACTGTCAAGTAACAGAGCTTCAAGACAAAGTTGTGTCTTTACAGGTATTTCAAACATATGAATATATTATGTACATTGGTAGGATAAGCATAATGCACAAAATATTGTTAAAATGATGTACTCTTCATATTTAAATATTCGTCAAAAACTGAAGCATTCCACTGTTTGGTACATGTATTAAGAAAAAAAATTATGCTGCAAATATTTACATTCTCATTTTGTAAAATAGTAACTAAGCTAAATGGTTAAAAAGGTTGAAGGTGATCATATGAAAATCTTTCAGAAGTGCAAGTCTGGAAAGAATTCTGGCGTTTTTTGACCTATTTCATTGAACATGGGGTCTATTTCTGCATAAATGGGATAAAGCTAACATTGGCAAGCTATTTGTATAATAAAAAAATCATTTAGTTGTGACATCATAACTCACATCCTTTTCAACAATTCCAGACAAAATGTGCCAATTTCACGGATGAGAATGCTAGGTTGAGGGAGGAAAAGGACACTCTGAAACAACAAATGCATTCAGATGCTTATTTCAGAGATGCTTTTTTGGAAAAGGTCCTTGCCTCTGACCAATCTGTGAAACATTTCCTCGGCCTTCCATCATTATTTTTTTTCACAGTGTTGTTTGACTTTGTGTCAAAGTTTTATGGCAATATTTCGTTTTGGAAAGGTGAGAAAAAAAGGTCGACAAAAAAGTGGCAACAAGGTGGACATGTTAAACCTGGAGTATCAAGAAAGCTGACAATTAAAGAGGAGTTTGTTTCGGTGCTGTTAAGGCTTGGATTGGGTTTGGAAAGTTTCACCCTAGCTGTGTTGTTTGGGATATCAGTTGGCCAAGTCTCCTCATTATTTTCAAGTTGGATAAACCATTTGTGCCAAATTTAAGACCCTCTAATCAAGTGGCAATCCAGAGACAAAATTAAGAAAACATGCCAATGTATTTTTTAAAAATTTAAACTTAAATACCCGGACACTACCGCTGTTATTGACTGTACTGAACTATATATTCAGCTTTAGTAAGTATACAGCCAAATGGTACTTTCAATTTTGTCTCAAAGTTTTAGAGTGGTAACATTTCCGACAGGAAGATTATCATGGAAAGCAAATTTTTAGACTTTGTGAAACCTGGTGATCACATTATGGCGGACCGCGGATTTCAGATTCGTGATCTCCTTACATCCAAGGGTGCATATCTTAACATGCCACCTTTCACCAGCCAAAAGTACAAAGGTAAGGGACGGATGTTAACATCAAAGGAGCTAAAGACAACGAGAAAGATAGCGTCACTGCGTATTTATGTGGAAAGGGCTATTCGACGTTTAAAATCATTTAAACTTCTGGGACAGATTTTGCCTGTGACCATGAAAGATATATCTTCATCAATGTTGAAAGTTGCAGCTGCTTTGTGCAATTGCTTGCCCCCTCTTGATCACATGTATAAATGTTAACTTTAAAGTGCTACATTTACCTGATGAGTAAGGCAAATATCTTAAAAGAGCTGTGTTTCAACCTTTCAGTTCTACCGAACTTAGACAGAATTACTTTTTCTTTTATGCACAACTTCAAATGCACATATATTAAAAGTCTATATGTAGGTGATTATAATGTACTTCAGTATTCACTATACTTTTATATCTTATGTAGTTATATTTGTTATTAATTGTATGAACAAAACCAATAAAACACAAGAATGATTATAACTAAGTATAGCCTACACAAATATAAATAAATAGCAGATAAAACTTCTGATGCTTGGTATTTCATACAAGATTATGAAATAAAAATGACTACTGATCATGGCTGCAAACTCTAGATTTTTACTACATGCAAGTTTTGTAAAGAAAACCGGTCAACTGCCATCTATCCCAGCATTTAAACATAAAATGGTGAAGACAGATCTGTTTTTACTTTGTACTGTCCATCCACCAGAGTACACGAAGAAATCTTGGACATGGCAGTCTGGGGCATTGCATCTTTATATTTAAAGGAGCACTTTATTTCTAGAACACCAGCATTACAACATTTACATGCAACAATACCATCTGGTAATGCAGCTATGTAGGAATATTCCTTATGTACATGAACACCTGTTTCTTGAAATGAAGTGTGATCCCTTTGCATACATTCCAAATACTGCTTTCTTTTAGTAGATTCATTTATTTTTCCAAACTCAGCTGCTTCAGTAGAAGATTTACTTGGACTAAGAATGGACTTGACAATGTTATTATCAGCATCATCACCTTTGTAATGAGAAGGTTTGTAAACGTTAGAAGCTGTAAGTCGACCTTTTCTTTGGTATTGCCCCATGTTATTTGAACTCTGGCCCTTTGTTAAAGCACAGACTGTGATAATTTCAGATAAATGTACATGGTCATATTTACAAAGTATATCAATAATATTTGGTGGACAGTCCTCAAAAACTGTTCATATCATAATCATCTGATTCTGAGTCAGAGTCAGAGAGTGTGTAAAGGGCGACAGCTGGTGTATTGGTCGACCTGAGTAACTGTTTAAGGTCCTTTTCCAGTTTCCTATCATCTACGTTCCACAAAGGAATATATCTCAACTCTGCTGATGGCTTTGCCTTCTGGGTTTTGTTTGTGCCAATCCTAATATAATTAAAACAAATCAACAAGTCAGGATTATACTTTTTGTGTGTATGTGATTTAAACAATGCTCTAGTATACAGTTATAGAATGGGTATGAGGGAAATAGCACATGTATGGTCCCCCGAGGTGAACAACTATTTCCCGAGGCGGCGAAGCCGTCGAGGGGAATAGTTTTTTCACCAATGGTGACCGTAAATGCGCTATTTCCCGAATTACCCGTTCTATAACTGTTATGTTATAACGAAACAAATTATTAAAGGCAATTTAAACAAATTTATTTATTCATTTCCTTTTACAATTTCAAAGAGAGAAAAACACAATTGGAAGTACTGTATGCATCGTCATTGATGACATCTTCATTTCTAGCATTCAATAATTGTTTTTATAGAATGTATCTCATAGTCACCATTGTTTTCTTATCATATCTAGTCCCATCCACATTAAGTTCTGCATAAAACTTGCGTGGACACACGTTCACCTGCTCTGAACTTGCTTGACCCTAATCGTCGACGCTTCCGACATTCCGTTCTGTTAAATCGTTTTGAAGTGAATTCACCGCAGTCTTTATAACAGCTTTTGTAGTTTAGCTACGCTTAGCGTCCAAAATCTGCTGTAACTCCTCTTTACAACAACAAAACGGCCTTCATCGGTGGCCATTTTCACTGTTGTCATTTAGTTCTGAAAATGTGACGTCTTGAGCGTCACGGAGAAGGCCCCGCCTACCAATGTTTTATTTGGTTGAAATTTTATAAGCTCCGCCTACAAATATTCATGAGGGAGTAGTCCCCTTTCTTGCAGGGAGTAGTCCTAATTTGGGGAGGAGTACAGAACTATTCACCTTATTCATAATACTATGTAAATATTTTTAAATATATTACATTTTGTAAGGTTGTTTTAAAGTGGGCCCTTGAAGTGTTTATTGAGATGTGCCTGTAATATTACCTAATATCCAAATCTGATGCCAAAACTGGTCTGCAGACCCTCTTTGGTTTCATCCAATATGCCTCCTTATCAGTAACACCTACTTCACTTCTGTCTTCTAGTGAGGTCGCGAGGTCTGTCAGACCAAACAGTAAAGCAACAACATTATTGCAGGATCCATCACTACTGTAGAAAATGAAATACTGGTCAAATAAATAACTAAATTAAAATTAAATTAAATATCCTGGATTGTTTTAGTTTTACTGCTAATCAGATACATGTACATGTTTGACACACGGACCACTGCACCTTTTTATATTGTAATGTGTGTTAATAGTATTTTCTTTTTTCCTTTACCACTTCAATGCTACTTTTCATTAGTGCTGTTCAGTGTGTGATAATTATAAAAACACATATTTAAACACAGACATATTTTATTTTTATTTTTTAATTATTGCAATAACAAATAGCAATAGCTGAACTGAACTGTAATTATATTACTCATATATATTAATTAACTGTTTCCATTACATGTAATATTGAGAGAAAAAAGCATGAATACAGATTGAAGAAAGGTAACATGGTTGGCTGTGCTAGAAATCTACTGGACAATGAGGGCAGTAAATTCGTAATGGAGACAGCTCATATAATTACGCAACACATGTACATTCTGATGAGATGATGTGGCCCGATTTCTCCATCATTACCCATGGTCTGTA